TAACTCAACGCAGCCGATGGATATTAGTGAGCTGGCGAAGGTGACCAGACAGCTGCTGAGCACAACGGTAGCCGCTATAGACCAACCAAAACCAAACGAATATGAGCAGAAAATTGAAGCATTGCAGCGGGAAGTGGCGGCGTTAAAGTTGGCTGATAGAAAAGACCGATGTTTTGAATGCGGTAAGCCGGGACACTGGAGAAGATACTGCCCAGAAAGGCGAAAAAGAAAAAGTTTCAGACGGTATAATACTTGTTCTTTCTCTCGTATGAACTAGACTTAGTGGGGACTATTGAGAAAGGGGCTCTGTATTCGAAGTTGCGAGTGAATGATCGAGAAGTAGTATGTTTGATAGATACAGGGGCGGCCGTGTCGTTAATAGATAAAAATTTATGTAAGAGTGTTAGTCCGTGTTCATTGACAGTACAAACAGTAGGCGAGCATGTGTTGCGTATCACGGGTAGATCGAACTGTACGGTCGTTGTTGGCGGCTGTGAGGTGACGTTTCCTTTCATTGTTGTACCCGAACTACAGCGAACGATATTAGGAGCGGATTTTCTGCGGGAGATTGGTGCAATAATTGACACGCAAGCGAAAGTTGTGGTCACGAAATACGGGCGTATCAACATGTATGAGACCAGCGAGATAGCAGCGGTTAGGCTGTCGACAGTACAGAATTAATTAATAAATACGATCATCTATTCACTGGAGATGGGGACCCATACGGCTATTGCGTTAAGGTGAATCATGAAATTCCGTTAAGTGATCCGAAAGTAAGGTCATTTTTAACGCGAAGAGTTCCATGTCATCTGGAAGGCGAAGTGGAGCGACAAGTGCAAGAGATGTTAAAAGATGATATTATTGAGGAAGCTGATAGCCCGTACAACTCTCCAGTGCTGTTAGTAAAAAAAGCGAATGGGAAGTATAGATTCTGCGTTGATTTTCGACAGTTAAACAGTGTGACAGAGTTAAGACCGTGTGCCATGCCAACAGTGGTAGAAACTTTAGATCGCCTACAAGGTGCGAATGTGTTTTCGGTTCTCGATCTTCGCTCAGGATACTGGCAGATACCGATAAAACAAGGTGATAGAGATAAGACAGCTTTCATCGTGGGTCAGACACAATATCGATTTAAACGCATGCCGTTTAAACTAGCATGTGTACCGTTTACGTTCAGGCGACTGATGATGCTATTACTTAAGAACTTGAAAAACGTGGGGGTATATGGTGATGATCTCGTCATATACAGTCAAAACGAAAACGATCACGTCAACCATGTAGAAGCCGTGCTGCGACGCATCGAAGGGTTTGGACTACGCGTCAACAAAACCAAGTCCCAGATAGCCAAAAAGAATGTTACTCTGTTGGGACATAAAGTGGGAAATAGTGAGATTAAACCACTACCGGAGAAAATTTTGACGATTAAAACGATTCCAGCCCCGAATTCAAAGAGAAAACTGAGACAATTCCTGGGTAGAGCAGAGTTTTATTGTCGCTTCGTGAAGAACTTCAATGAGATAGCAGCCCCTCTATACAGGCTACTAGGGGAGCCAAAGTTTGTTTGGTCGGAAGAATCGCAGAGGACATTCGACAGAATTAAACAGCTGCTCGACCACCAACAAATGACGCTAAAACTACCTGTACCTGGAAGACAGTTCACAGTGTGCACAGATGCCAGTGACTACGCTATAGGTGCGGTCCTAAGACAGGACGAGGGAATCGTTGAGTATGCCAGTAGGGTTTTGACGCTCACAGAGAGAAAGTATTCAACGATAGAGAAAGAATGTTTAGCAATGGTACGGGCAGTCGACAAATGGAGACCTTATTTACTCGGCCGGCGGTTCCACATCGAAACTGATCATAAGCCGCTACAATTTTTGAAGACAGCGAGAGACCCACGGGGGAAGTTGTCACGGTGGATGTTGCGTCTTCAGGAGTACGATTTTACGATCTCACACGTTCCTGGAAGTGAAAATGTCTTGGCAGATTTGTTATCGGGACCAGAAGATGAGTCTGAGTTGCCCGAGGTCGCTTACGGAGTGCATGCAGTAGAACAAGACCCACTAAGACTTGCACGCAGGCAGAGGTTGGACGATACGCTGAATACAGTAATACAGGTGATCACCAACGGAATAGAAGTGGATCAAACTACGGCGAGTAAGGAGCTAACCACACTACTCAGACAGAGGGATCGACTCAGAGTGAATGCCTACGGGACTCTGACCTGGCGAGAGAACGACGGAAGCTGGCTGGCTGTCATACCTCAATCGTCGCGCCACGACATGATAGAAGAATGTCACCAGCTAGCGCATACAGGCGTGGCCAGAACGACCGACCTCCTAAGACAAAGTATGTACTGGCCAGGTATGAGAGAAGACGTAGCAAGATACGTACTTGGATGTCCACGGTGCCAGCTGATGAAAGGTGACCGGTGTATACGACCACCACTTCAGTCGATTCCAGTTACCGCGATAGGTGACTTGTGGTCCGTAGATGTCATGGGTCCATTTCCTCAGACATCCAATGGTAATCAGTACCTCTTGGTGATGACGGAACACGCGACACAATGGGTAGACGCCATAGCAATCCCAGACCAACGTGCAAGAACCGTGACAGATGCAGTAGTTAAACACATTGTTGCAGACCACGGCGTACCAAAGACAATACTGACAGACCAAGGTCCCTGTTCCGAGAGTGAAGAGTTTACTTCCCGTTTGCAACAGCTGGGCATCAAGAGGATCAGAACGACCCCATACCATCCACAAACGAATGGCCTAACGGAGAGAAACAACCGTACACTGAAGGAGTGGCTGGCCTCGAAGGGCGGTAACTGGGAAACGGAACTTCCACTGATTTTACTGACACATCGTGCTACCACTCAGGAAACAACGAAGAAGTCACCCTTCCAACTGATGTATGGTAGAAAACCACGATTACCAATACACAACGAGACCTGGCCTCGTCACCAAAAATGGAGTACGACGAAATTAAAAGCAGAGCGGAAAGAAGCAGTCAAGAATGTAATGAAGAAGCAGCGGAGTGACGTCGCGAAGTCTCAGCTGAAAAGAAAGACTCAGTGCAATATCTTTGCAGTCGGGGACCAAGTGAAGTGTAGAGACAAAAGATATACAGTTGGATGCGGGCCAGGTTCACGAAAACTCCTTCCAAAGTGGGAAGGACCGTACACAATCACAAAAAGACGGGGTCAAGTATATACCATCCAAAGAGGTGATAAACAGAAACGAGTTAACGCCAGTCAGCTTCAAAGATGGGTACAGTGGGACAAGCCGGTCAGTAACAATCCTCAACTAGAGGATGTAGCACCCAAAAGGTCGAAACATTAGTGAAACAATCTCGGAAAAAAATGGCACTATAATTAGCTCCCAGGATAGACGACTGGATCGTTGGAAAGAGCATTATGAGGAGCAGTTTAATTGGTTCACAGCCACGCTTAATCTGCCGAACATCCAACCCCTCCCTGAATGGGATATAGACACAGGTCCTCCATCCCTAAATGAGGTTACTAAAGCTGTCACCAATCTAAAACTAGGCAAAGCAGCGGGACCTGATGGAATGACTCCAGAGGTATTTAAGTACGGTGAAGACAGCTTACTGTCTGCATTAACTGAGGTACTAGGCAGCGTCTGGGAATCAGAAGAAGTCCCATCGGGTTGGTGTAAGTCATCGATTATCCCCATATACAGGAAGGGAGACAAGTCTTCCTGTGATAACCACAGAGGGATTAGCTTGACTAATATAGTATCTAAAGTCTTAGGCTCAATAATCATGCGTAGACTAAGTGGTGCTCGGGAAGCACAAACACGAGAGAGCCAGGCAGGCTTTAGACCAGGAAGAGGGTGTATTGATCATATCTTCACCCTCCGACAGATTCTAGAACATAGGCATTCCTACCGGCGTCCAACAGTCATTATATTTCTTGACCTAAAGGCGGCATTCGACTCTGTCGATCGAGAAGTTCTCTGGAGATGCTTGGCTGTAAAGGGAATTCCGAGAAAATATATTGCACTGATTAAGGCACTCTACTCGTACTCATACAGCAAGGTGAGGGCTTACGGCGAGCTGTCATCTGAACTGATGACGACCAGTGGTGTCCGTCAAGGTTGCCCATTATCCCCTTTTCTATTCAACTTCATCATAGATGTGTTAATGGACTTAACCCTTAGTGACTTCAGCGATTCAGGGATTGACTTGCTACCTGGGAATAATCTCGTTGACTTGGAATATGCAGACGATATAGTCCTTCTAGGCGAAGACGCTGACGAAATGCAGAGTCTTCTGAACACCTTGAGCTGTAATCTACGAATGTTTGGCATGCGATTCGCTCCCGCCAAATGCAAGATGATGTTACAGGACTGGACTACATCGACGCCTAGTTTAAAAATAGGAAGTGAAGTGGTAGAGCACGTTGACCGCTTCACTTATTTGGGAAGTACCATCAGCCAGCGCCAACGGGTTGATCTCTGACGAAATCTCAGCACGAATACAGGGGGCCCGTTTCGCATTTGCCAGTTTACGCCAACTCTGGCGTAGACGAGATGTTCGACTATCGACCAAAGGGCGGGTGTATTGCTCATCAGTCCGCTCTGTCCTCCTTTATGGTTGTGAAACCTGGCCACTCAGAGTGGAAGACATGAAAAGACTAGCTGTCTTTGATCATAGGTGCCTGCGCTCTATTTCCCGTGTAAAGTGGCATAATAAGGTGAGCAATATTGAGGTTAGGTATCGAGTTCTAGGTAAACAGGGGAAATCAATCGACGAAGTCGTGAAGTTACAAAGACTGAGGTGGTTAGGACATGTGTTACGTATGCCAAGCCATCGCCTCCCTCGACGAGCAATGTTAGCGGATATAGGGTCAGGCTGGAAAAAAGCTAGCGGCGGTCAAACAAAAACTTGGCACCAGTCAATGAAATCCACAACAGTTGGTCTAAGCCATGTAGGAAGGTGTAGACTTCCAAGCTGGGGTTCTCGGGATGGTAAAAATCAATGGTTGGAAACAATTGGTGACATGGCTCAAAACCGTTCTCAGTGGCTGGTGCAGATTCATCCACTCCTTGTGACTTATGATTACCAATGAAACTGTTTTGTTCTTCGTTATTACTCCTCCTTTGTCTCACACCTCTGCTCACTGTTTCGATTATGCTTTTCTTGTACTTTCTTCTCTTGTTTCGCGTGCTACACGGAGTGTGGCGACTTGAACTTCCGCACATTTGTGCGAAGTTCTATGTCGAAAACAGACAGACAGACAGACGATGACACAATACACAATTCTGGCAGTTCTGAATAAAAATTGACATCTAACTGATGAGAGGTATTTTCCCTACAAAGCATTTGGTAAATCAAGTTTGATCATGAACTGAAATCAATAAGGGAACTGTTAGAAAATCAGCATGCAGTACTGGATAACTGTTTCGTTCCCTCAATTTAGGGACTCTTCATCAGCATCCATCCTTCCACAGCCAGGGTTCGAACCCAGGACCTCCCTGCTGACAAGGGGAACCTCGTAGACCAATCAGCTATTAGCATTCGATACAATGTTTGGCTCTTTTCTCTAGACAGGAAACAATATTATGATGCAATCCAGCAGTAGCATCTAAAGTACATCTCTGCCCAGTTTACATGCAAACTGTTAAAAGAGTCGCAAAAATATCCACTAATACACTTGGGTCAAGAGGCTGAACATTTCGATCAACGTTGATTCAATTAATCGACGTTGTTTTTAAACACTCAGATTTTTCTGAGTAAAAATTAAAAACAAAACAAAATAAAAAAAGAGAACACTACATAACATTTTGAAAAAAAAGTCAAGCGCTACACAGCTGAATATAGCTTGAAAATATAAACACACAAAAATAGTTTTTATTTAGAGAAAAATTTTATTCTTGTACGTTCCTAGTGGAACATATAGGGCTTTAAGCTACAGCTCTGAAGTTTCGGTAGCAGTAGTGTTTTTTTACGGGGAAAGGTTGTTAGCCTCACGCCAAACCTTTCCTCTTTACCAGTCTTATTACTGGCTTAGTGAGAAATAAAGGAGTGCGTCTGCGACCGGAGATCGAACTCCGGACCACATGGGGCGTGGTTGGCGACCATTCTACCCCGCTGTGCTACCGAAGCACACAAAAATAAAAAATGAGAAGATAATTCTTACCGTTTAAATCGATGGGATTATTGACTATTTGGATTGATGAATCAGTTAGTGTTACATTATTGTCCTCTTCTGATTCATCCATCTTATTATGTTTAGCCTTTAGATGCCTTTCTAGAATATCGGCAACTTTGAATGCTAAAGGACAATAAGGGCAGGGGAATGATTTTTCATTAGTATGACGAAATAAAATATGACGTTCCAGAGCTAAAGTAAGTTTTGAAAAACAAAAAATATTAAGGTGAAAAAAAGTTGTTAAGAAGAATCCAGATTGATTAATTATTTTTTAATAAGAATAGCATTCATTCCTCCATTCATTCTTAACATGAAATTGTAGGAATTTGGTTGGTTACAAGATTTCATTATGAGCTGACATTGGTTAGAGAACCATTGGGAAACCTGGGAGTACTGGACAGCTATTTCGTCTACCTAGTTCGGGACTCTTCAGCAAGTACGTACCCACCGGGGTTCGAACCCAGGACCTTCTCGTTAGAAGGCGAGCTCATATACCATTAAGCCACTGGGACCAGATACAATGGCCCATGAATTCTAACTTCTGCCAATTCATGACATAGCGCGACTCCAGGTTTTCCAATGGTTCCCTCACCAACGTCAGCTTATGATGAAATCCTGTAAGGTAAAAATTGTTTTATATCTATTGTACGAACTATCATCCATAGTTACACTTGATAAGCGGCTCCAGACATGAGAACCCAGTAATTAACTGTGTATATATTTATAGGTATGCTTTGTAGAACTACTTAAATTGAAGCAAAAAGGTTAAAAAAACAGCATTAGCAACCCAGAAACAGTCTACAGAAGTTAGAATTCTCAGGTAATTGAATACCAATCCAGGTGGCTGAAAGGTCAATGTACTGACCTCATAAGTTGAAGGTCCTGGGGGTTCATTCCATGGTGGGGTCGTAGGTGCGCACTTTTGAACAGCCTTAAACTAGGCTGACAAACTTATCCAATGCTACCCCCCTGGTTTCCACAGATTCTCTACGTAGTATTGGTGTTCATGACGAAATCTAAATTGAAACATTTCAGAGTTATAAAAAAACACTAAACCTGAATACTGAAGTACACATAACAACTAAAAATGCATAAAGGGATGTGGTATGCAAGTACGGCTAAATCAGTGATATCAAGGATTCATTTTAAAAGAAAATAATGACATGAAACGTATTTCGTCACTACATTGATCCAATCTTTTGGGTGGGTGCGTACTGCTGAAGAGTCCTAAACTAGGACGAAACAGCTGTTCAGTACTCCCAGGCTTTCCAATGGTTCTCTAACTAATGTCAGCTGATGATGAAATCTTGAAACCAATCAAATCCCTACAAACCATCACTTGAATACCAATCTCTTGGGTGTTTCATGTTACCCTCGGACGCATCCAATTCATTGTTTCTTATGCATGTTTCATTCGGGCCACGGCATGGCTTGAGATGTCATCGAACGGTCCCTTCTGAGTATGTCCCATCTCTTTGCATTCTCTTCCGAATATTTGTGTTCTTCAAGAAACACATTCATCAACCTGAAACCAATCTGGAAAACCAATCTTCGTCACTCAGTATCAACAAAAAAATCCAGTTGGATTTTCAATACAAACGTCAAGTCAGTCAGTTCTTCTATACGGATCAGAAACTTGGCGAGCGGGTCACAAACAATATTTCCAACAGCCTGTTGCGATGCAGACCTTTATCAACCAACAACTGTCTTCGCCGGATCTATACTGAAGATGAGATGGCCGGGCCGGGCTGGAAAGAATCACCAACAAGAGACTATGGGAATAAACAAAACAAAAGCCAATCGCCAGCCAACAAATATGCAGGAGAAATCGAAGATGGATTGGACACTCACTGAGGAGGCCGCCGGGTGACATCGAGCGTCAGGCCATCGCTCGGTGGAACCTGAAAGGGAAGCGGCGAGTTGGTCGTCAGTGCAAGTGTGACATGGAGGAGATCGTGTGAAGAGGAGTTAAAACAGTATGGACTAACATGGATGCAGGTGAAAAGGACAGCAGAAGACAGAAGTGGCAAGTGGAGACGTGCAGTTGAAGCCCTAGGAACCCAAGGGAACAATAATAATAATAATAGGTTCTTCGTTGGTTGGTTTCCAGTGTTTCTTGTTGCTTATCCTTTCCAGCAATCCGTCTGATTTTCAATATTGAGTGGAGGCAGATGTTGACATATTAAGAAATATGTTGAAAATGCTTTCCACGACGCTCGCTCGAAATCTGTGAACTATATATAAGAGCTGACAGACCTAGTATTAGTGTTGAAAATCCGAATTTTGTTTCTTATGCTGAGTACAGAAGATTTCCATTTATTTCAGATTACCGAAAGTGTGTCTTGTCTTTTAGATCCTGATTGGCTTGACATTCCTCATCCCCACTATTACCTACAGTTGAAAATATGCGATCTGGATAAGTAACGGGTGTGACCACCTCTTTCAAATTTCTTCCGTTGATAGTGATCGATGCTGGGTTGTTGTTACAGTTTGTTTGTTCGTTGGTTGGTTACCTTCACTACCTGCATCTTCTCTATGTTCACCTGAATTCCTATCTTTGGTGCTTCTTCCCAACAGTTTGTTGGTTTTCACCTCTAAGTCCTCGAGTTTGTATAACTTCAGATTTAAATCATCCACGGAGTCCAGGATCTACTGTACTGCCTGCCTTTTAGGCTCCTCACTCACAGTTCCCCACATAATCCAGTCCACCTCAATCAGGAATATTATCAGTGATAGTTGCAGCCTTCTTCGGCTGACTTCTGTCTTCACTTTAAAGGTTTCGTCGAGTTTTACGCTGTGATTCATTTGACATATAGCACTATCATATAGTTTACTGGATGAGGTTATTTAAAGTGTAACCATCTGAGTCCTTCACTATTGGTCTCTTCCCCCCCCCCTTTTTCTCACATTCACTTTGTCCTTTAGTATTTCCATGTAACTGGAGTGTTTACTGTACACTCCAGCAGTTAAACACGTAATTTTCTATAGTTTGGTTTGTAAGGATTAATTTTGTCTTTACGAGTTGACCAAGGATTGATATTAGTTAGAGAACCATGGAAAATCAGTGAGTATCGGACACCTGTTTCATCCTAGTTTGGGAATCATCGGCAGTACGTACGCACCTTTAACCTTCCGGTTACAAGGCAAGCTGGCTCGTATACCATTCAGCCACTGGGACCCGATTCAATGTCCATCAGCTTATGAATTCTAATTTCTATCAATTCGTGATTTATCGCGACTGGCACCAACCAAACTCGTCGGTGGGACATCCATCCTCACACACACGTGACATCTGGATGGACCTCACACTGGTCACGACTTCTCACTAGAACTCCAGGAAACTCCATCCTGTAGCAAGCCACTAATGAGCATTAGATTAATTTTCTATAGTTTGGTTTGTAAGGCTTAGTTTTGAATAAAATTTCACACTCCTAACTATATTTTTAGCAATGAATGAAATGAAACAAAAAGCACCTCGAAATAGTAATATTTAATGATCAAGACTGCACACCTCAATACATAATAAAATAAAATAAAATCGATAACGGGCGCCTCATTGAATGCGGCTTAAAGATTTTAACATGGTAAGGTAAGAAACTGAGTCATAAGAGGGGAGAAGATTAATCAGTGTTAAGACGGCGTGGTGTGTGTGTGTGTGGGGGGGGGGGGAATATCATTGACCAGTGTTTTCTAATGTAAGCATGATGGACTAAATATCAACTTCTCATCTAGATCACGGGAGGTCATGTCAATCCATTGTTATTGGAACACAGCTAATCAATCAATCAGAACACAACTTTCTTAGGCATTATACTTGCGAGTTCAATAGTATTGTAAAATGAATTATATAAATACAGCTATACACTTTCTGGATATTTGCCTTTTCCTACAGCAAATACTGCCTTAACAGTCTGTCCTGTCTTCTCATATAGAGAAGAAGAAGTAGGAAGATTCCTACGTATTTTACAGATGACTTTGAAGTTGATCTGGGGATTAGCTTAAAGTCTCCTTCTCCGACAGCTGTATCCTGGAACACGTGATGGAATCTGGACGCCAAGCTAATCCAAACATCAACTTCAAAGTCATTTACAGAATATGAAGGATTCTTGCTAAAACAGTATGAATCAAACTTCTTCAGACAGTAAAATGATGGTGTTTTTGGTCCCAATCTCTTCATACAGAGGAAGTTTGTTTAGTCACTGAATTTACAATGGACGTCATGTGTTTTAACACCGGATACTCAATTTTCTTCCCTCAAGCCCCTTATTACATTGCAAGGCGTTGTTGTCACTGTTATCAACTTGACTCACATACAATCCTGTCAGTTATGTTGTGGTGAGAGCTGCCTGTTAGTCAAAATTGGTGGACAGTAATTTACGTCAATATTTATGTCCCCAATATTGGTCGTGAGGAAACTGAGAACAAAGGCTTTCCGTAGGCAGATACAGTTAACATATACATGATCTGACATTCAAGAAACAGTGACAAAGAGATGCAAGGTTAACTTTCTGTGAGAAACAACCAATCAGAAAACCATGTTTTTCTGCTCACAGTAATCCATAATATGTACATGAAAATCTATAAATATGTGTTGACTTCCTTAATAAAGGATCTCTTGCCTAGCCCTTGTTTTCTCTTGCTACAATATGACGTCATTCAATTTATCAGGTGTGCGTCGGCAGGGGATCGAACCCCGGACCATGTGCATGGGCACAGCGGTTAGCACTCTCGCCGACCATGCACATGGTCCGGGGTTCAATCCCGTGCCGATGCACACCCGATATCTATGGTCGGCCTGCAAAATTTGGGCTACCGATATCACATGCTGAAAAGTCATTCGAATTACTTATATTTAATTCAGTTACTACCCGAATAACCATTTTGTTTGTTGTCAGGATAAAGAAATGAAGAGTAAATAGGCTATCATCTTTGGACTCTTTCCCATTGACTGTTTGGATCGATGTGTTCGGCTTCAGGTTGATATGTCGGCTCTTTTTGCACAGATAATTCGACGGAAGATGTTTGATTATTTAACTTGAAGTAAATTTGGTGGATAGATTGGTGGCTAGCAGTGGAATCCAGAATGCGCATTTCGGATGTCCTATTTGTGTGACTACTCGTCATTTGGATGTTCCTGAATTCTCCAACCAGTGATAGTCTGTTCTCACTGTCCACTGCTGGTCACCAATTTTTACTTTAAGTTAAAAAATCAGACACCATCGAGACATCTGCACAAGGAGGCAAAATGTCAATCTGAAGCCGAGCAGTGTGGTCCAATCAATCAATGAGGTCCAAAATGAATTATGTAATAACTGACACTCGTTGCCCAAGTGGTTTAGTGGATAATGCTTTGGCGTTTGAAACTATGGGTACTGGGTTAGAAGCTCAATGGGACAGCACCACTCACTTGAGAGTGCAGGCACATCCAAATGAAGCGTCATACATAGGACAGTCGAAATGCACATTCTGGATTCCAATGCTAATCACCACCCACCACCAATTTACTTCATTAAATGATAGCTGACTAGATAGACAAACAAATTCTTTTCCACAAAGAGGTAAGGAGATCCAAAGCTTATCTACCTGTTAGTTTATAAGAGTACAAACCACAAACGGATGACAAAGGCATCTAGTAAAAGAGATAGAAAATTGGGTAAAACGTGCTATTTGTTATTTACCTGATTTGCCTAAGGCAGTCATATCACAATAGGGACATTTCATTGTATTAATATGCCTTTTCATATGCGTAGCCAATAATCTCTGTGTACTAAACAGTCTTTGACACCGATTGCACTTTACAGGTTTAACTGAATGATGTATATTCACCTTCAAGAAAGAAAATTAAAAAAATTAAAATTGTGACGTGTTCTACTGACAAAATTTATAAGTAGTATATAGATACATATATAAATATGTGTGTATCATCTGTAAGAATATCGAATAGTCGAAAGATAGATTTGATTGTGAAGAAAATAAATGAACGCTGCTTGTGATGAAATAACATGGAAGACGTGAAAGGAGGAAAAAAGTAGCACGATGTCGAAGATATGTGCAAATTGTGATTCGCATATAGGGTGCACGTATTTTGCCTATATTTGTACATTCAATTTCCAATACTCTTAAAGTCTTTCTGAAAACACTGACAATCTACACGAATTGATCTACCATGGATGAGCCATCTCATACATTGGGATCATAGTAATGACTGAATTCTACCATTAAAGTTTGCAATGTAGTCCCACTTTACGTGAACTTAGAGGGCACGCAGCAATGGCAACATTGCCGACTGACTCAAATAATTCAGCCACCACGGTCACTAAGCACCAGATGTATGAAATTAGTTACGCGTTCAGGTGGCCGGTAACTTTATCCAGTTCAATGCTACAGGAGGTCAATCACGAGGGTTCGAATCTCTGAGAGAATATCACTGTTCCTCCGAAGTGACTGACTGGTATCAACATAGAACTTTGCCCATAAGTGCACCAGTTCAAGTTGTCAAACTCCATATGCCACACATAAGGAGACAAAAGACAGGAAAAAGAGGAGATTCACAAGAACAATAATAAGCAGGTATGTGAAGGAGGAAGATTAGTAATAAAAGGAAAAAACATGAGGGTTACATGGATAGTGGGAGATCGTAAGTATTGAATGCATCTTCGTCAATGACAGCGATTTTGAACCATATTCCCGACTGTCTCTAGCCATTGGTTCTTAAAATCCCAAGGACGCCTACCAGGAAGCCTAAACTTCTCTAAGTGACTGGCTAAAACTAGCTGTTAAAGAGTCCATGGACTGGCTCCGAATTTACTTTATCATATGAAAAAGAGAAGACGTTCAGCGAAGAGACTCTTTTCGCCGGCGAATTCATTCACATAGCTGTACAATCGCATCTATATATAATTATTTGTGTGTGTGCGTACATGAGGTTTGTTCAGTTTAAATACTTGATCAGGTAATAAAAGAATGATCTAATATAGGAACAAGGTTAATCAGACAGCAACCAAAATAAGATTGAGATAGTAAGATGACGGAATATAATTGACTAAAATACCTTCGAAATCTATAAGAGATATGTTGACGACACTTCCATTATCGTCAACAATGAAGAAAATCTAGACGACATCTTGAAGTCGTTTAACAACTGCCACCCCCGCGATTCAGTTCACGCTGGAGAAAGAGTCCAACTCCAAAATACCCTTTCTTGACGTCCAATTAACAAGACGAGAACAGGATGGAACACTGAGAAGATCTATCTACAAAAAGTCGACGTGGAACGGACAGCTTACTAACTTTCACAGTTGGGTACCCCTATACACCAAACGAAACCTGATCCGTTCACTCAGCTACAGAGTTCTCAGAATTTGCACCCGGGACACCATAGAAGATGAACTGGACAATCTCAAGAGAATCCTTGTCGAGAATTGTTATTCAGAAAGATTTACCCAGCGTTCGCTTTCCAAACGGACCACCGAACACTTACCAACATGGTTTTACAAAGGAGAAAAACGATGCCTCCACAGCTTCACCTTAGAACATCTGGTAGATTCCGGACACCAAGCTACATCGTAAACAAACTTCAAAGTCGTCTACACAGTAAGAAGTAGTCTTCCTAAAGGTGTACGAATCAGACTTCTACAAACTGCAGAAGCAATGGCGATTCACTTGCTAAGTGCTGAACTCTGCATACAGAAGAAGTTCGTTCAATCACCACACTTACAATGGACTTAATATATCTTATTACCCGACAAGTAAATTCTACCTAATCTTTTTTTATTTCTCTCACTTCATTAGTATTATTTTGTCTTCTCAATTGTAATATTTTGCATTTTCAACTTCCTTGTTCTCTACCCCCATTTAATTTAATTCCTGCACCTCACTTTCACTGTTACTGACTTGAACAACACTCAATTTCTAGTCATTCATTTATGTTACGTCATCCAATTTATTTGCTCAATTTCAGTTCTAATTTAAATGGCATTATTATCGACTCCACTTCTACTTAGTTTCTACCTGTAATTACCTCTGTTGCTACCCTGAACTAAGTTGAAACATTTTAGTGAATTATATTACGTCATCTAACTTACTAACTCAATCTTACTTTGGTTGCTGTCTGATTAACCTTGTTCCTATATTAGATCATTCTTTTATTACCTGATCAATTATCTAAACATAACAAAACCTCATGTACACACACACACACAAATAATTATATATAGATGCGATTGTACAGCTATGTGAATGAATTCGCCGGCGAAAAGATTCTCTTCGCTGAACGTCTTCTCTTTTTCACATGACTCAATTGGGATTTTCAAGCCTTATATATATATAACAACCACTAGTCATTATTAACGGAAGGAATTCGAAAGAGGTCACTTCCTTCACTTATCTAGACACCACCGTTTCAACTACAGACGACAGAACGGATGAAAATGTCGAAACCGGAATGGGAAAGACAAGACAGACCTTTATCGCCCTGATGAAATCAGTGTGAAAATCTTCTTCACTCTGTCAGCACATAAAGCATAAACAACAGAATTCAGATTTTCAACACCAATATTAAGTCAGTCAGTTTCCCTATTATTATTATTATCTTTAATTCTTAGAGAAACATAGGACTTCAACCGCCAGTCTCCATTGCGTTCGGTTCTCTGCTAGAGTTTTCACCTGGCTCCAAGTCTGCCTACATGCTTTCATCTCCCCTTCACATGACCTCCTTCAAGTGAACCTCACATCGACGACCAACTCACCGCTTCCCTTTCGGCCTCGTTCCACTCGAGCGATGGCTTGTCTAGTGATGTCACTTGATGGTTTCCTCAGTGTATGGCCAATTCATCTCCATTTCTTCCTGCAGATTTGTTTCATAATCGGTTCCTGCTGAGTTGGTTCGCTCCCAGAGATCACTGTTGCTGATCTTTTCTGGCCATCTGATCTTGAGTAGTATTGAGCGAAGACAACTGTTAATGAAGGTCTGTAGTTTGCTTGAGGTGCTCTATATGACGCACCAAGTCTCTGTTCCATATAGTAGCACTGACTTCACATTGAAGTTGAAAATCCGGACCTTATTTTCATTTTCATGCTGAGTGCTGTTGACCTCCACACAGAACTGAGAGTAATGAAAGCTTGTCTTGCTTTTCCGATCCTTGCTTTGATATCTTCGTCAGTTCCGCCTGTAGTTGAAACGATGCTTCTCAGGTATGTAAAGGAGGTTGTTTCTTTCAGGTTACTCTCATTTATGCTGATTGTTGTCTGTTGATGTTGCTGTTGCACAGGAATATATATACGTAATAAACTTGGCGGGTGCATTACGAGAAGAATTTCGAACAGGTTACTACACTCTTTTATCAGCAGCTGCCTACGCTCCATACTGAAGATCAAATGGCCAGGAAGAATTATCAACAAGGAAATCTGGGAAAGAATCAGTCAAGAGCCTATTGCTCAACAAATGAATGACACCGTGCACCAGGCCATCGCTCGACTGAGACCCAAATGGGGCGGGAGTTCGAGGCTGATATGGAGGACATCGTGTGAGGAGATGAAAGACTACGAAACCAGCTAAAGAGGACTGTAGAGAGTAGGACAAAGTGGAGACGTGCTGTATCCCACCCGGAACCGAAGGGAACAATAATTATCCATATTCAGCGAATTTATCTGTGGGAATTAAAATCAATGGAAGAGCGATCACATAACAGAGTACCATTATATACACACACACACCGGTGAATTCACTCCTAAAATAATGATTAGAATCAGACAATGAATGTGGCTTCAGTACAATCACTGCTACATTACCCAAGTTTTACATACATAAAAAACATGTTTTCTCAGAATGACTGGACAGAGAGAAACACCCGTAAGGGAGAAGAAAGTAGGCATGAGAGATAAACTTTTATTAAGTCATACTGCTCAACCATACAGCTTTTCGTATGTGCTTAGTTTTGTATTCACCTTTCAAGTGTTCAGTGTACTGCTTATCCCCAGTAATCAAATCAGTAATCCAATTATCTGTCTGTTTTCGACATAGAACTTTGCACCGATGTTCAGCAGTTTAAGTCGCCACACTGCCTCCAGGTAGCACACAAAGCAAGAGAAGAAAGTAGAAGAAATGTATAATAGAGACAGTAAACAGAGGTGTGAGACAAAGGAATAGTAATAACGAAGAACGATATAGATTCGTTGGTAATCATAAGTCACAGAAAGTGGATGCATCTGCGCCAGCCATTGAGAACTGTTGTGATGAAACCATGTTTTGGTTTGACCGAGGCTAGCTCTTTTCCAGTCGGACACTATGTCAGTTAACATTGCCCATTGTCGCGGAAGGTGATGACTAGGCTAGGCATACGTAACACAAGTCCTAACCTTCTCAGTCGATGTAATTTCACAGACTCGTCAATTGATTTCCCCTTCCACCTTCCTAGCACTCGACGCCTAACCTCAATATTGTTCGCCTTATTATTCTACTTCACACGGGAGACAGCTAATCTTTTCATGTCTTTCACTCTCAATGGTCAGGTCTCACAGACATAAAGGAGGACGGAGAGGACTGATGAGCAATACACACGCCCTTTGGTCAATAGCCAGCCGGATATCACGCCTACGCCAGAGACGGCGTAAACAGGAATATGCGAAACTAGTCCTCTGTATCCGTACTGAGATTTCGTCAGAAATCAACCCGTTGGCGTTGGCTGATGGTATTTCCCAAATAAGTGAAGCGGTCAACATGCTCCACCAACCACTTCACTCCCTATTTCTAAACTAGGAGTCAGTGTAGTCCAGTCCTGTAGCCACATCATCTTACATTTGACGGCAGGAGCGAATCGCATGCCAAACATTCGTAGATTGCAGCTCAAGGTGTTCAGAAGACTCTGCTGGATTTTGTCAGCGTCCTCGCCCAGAAGACAGGACTATATCATCTGCATATTCTAAGTCAACGAGATTATTCCCTGGTAGACATGCAGCTAAAACAGTACTTACATATCCAAGTGAGATTTACGGGATTAATTTTTTCACTACAGTGTAAATAATGTACCCCGTTTCCCAACAAAATAGACGAAAATAACCACCACACGAATACATGATGATTCACGTTGCTACAGTAACTGATTAAAGCTATTTATAACTTGAACTTTGATCTATAACACGGGTGGTCTTAATAATATTTATGAGTTCTGCTCCTACTGAAACAACCTGAAATTTTACCAGGGGTACAGTAGCTAATTCCTCTTACTCTAATTTAATGTCGACTAGTGTCCAACGGTACAAGCGAAAACCGACAAACTGGTCGAAGAAGCAGCAAAGGCAGGACTCCAGGTCAATACAGACAAGACAGAGGTTATGAAAATAACCAACAACAACAGCAACATCCAGCGCCAATTGTTAATGCGAAGACAATATTTCTATATTTCTTGATGTGCTCCATTGAATGACTAGATATCATATTGTTCTCACAAACCAAAGACAAAAACGTCAGCAACCATGTAATTTAACCATAAACCAAATTTATGTAATTTAAATAATACTTATCCATGCCTGTACATTTGGTGTGTCCTACACAGGTAGGAAAAATATGCATTTTATTAAATTATTATTAAATTTGCTTACTAATAGTATATGTAATTCATCATATTGATGATGCCTGTAAACTGGCGTCCCTCATGTACAAAATGAGAATATTATTATCAACGGGAGGGGTTTGAAAGAGGTTACTTTATTCACTTGTCATCTAGGGAGCATTGTCTCAACTACAGGAGGAACGGACGAGGATGTCAAATCCAGAGAGAATCGGGAAGATGAGAAACACATTCATCAACCTGAAACCAATCTGGAAATCTTCGTCACTCAGCATCAACAACAAAATTCGGATTTTCAATGCAAACTGTCTGTCTGTTTTCGACACGGAACTTTGCACATATGTCTGTCTGTCTATCTGTTTTCGACATAGAACTTTGCACAAATGTGCGGAAGTTCAAATCGCCACATTCCGTGTAGCACGCGAAGCAAGAGAAGAAAGTACAAGAAAAGCATAATAGAAACAGTGAGCAGAGGTGTGAGACAAAGGAGAAGAAATACAAAACAGTTTCATTGAAGATCATAAGTCACAGGGAGTGGATGCATCTGCGCCACTGAGAACGGTTTTGAGCCATGTCACCAATTGTTTCCAACCATAGATTTTTACCGTCCCGAGGACCCCAGCCTGGAAGTCTACACCTTTCTACGTGGCTTAGACCAACTGTTGTGGATTTCATTGACTGATGCCAAGTTTTTGTTTGACCGCCGCTAGCTTTTTTCCAGCCTGACCCTATATCCGCTAACATTGCTCGTCGAGGGAGGCGATGGCTTGGCATACGTAACACATGTCCTAACCATCTCAGTCTTTGTAGCTTCACGACTTCATCGATGATTTCCCTGTTTACCTAGAACTCTACGCCTAACCTCAATATTGCTCACCTTATTATGCCATTTTACACGGGAAATAGAACGCAGGCACCTATGATCAAAGACAGCTAGTCTTTTCATGTCTTCCACTCTCAGTGGCCAGGTCTCACAACCATAAAGGAGGACAAAGCGGACTGATGAGCAGTACACCCGCCCTTTGGTCGATAGTCGAACATCTCGTCTACGCCAGAGTCGGCGTAAACTAACAAATGCGAAACGAGCCCCTGTATTCGTGCTGAGATTTCGTCAGAGATCAACACGTTGGCGTTGGCTGATGGTACTTCCTAAATAAGTGAAGCGGTCAACGTGCTCTACCACTTCACTTCCTATTTTTAAACTAGGAGTCGATGTAGTCCAGTCCTGTAACATCATCTTGCATTTGGTGGGAGCGAATCGCATGCGAAATATACGTAGATTGTAGCTCAAGGTGTTTAGAAGACTCTGCAAACAACGTCAAGTCAGTTCTTCTATACGGGTCAGAAAATCGGCGAGCGGTCACAAACAATATTTCCAACAGCCTGTTGCGATGCAGACCTTTATCAACCAACAACTGTCTTCGCTGGATCTATACTGAAGATGAGATGGCCGGGCCGGGCCGGAAAGAATCACCAACAAGAGACTATGGGAATAAACAAAACAAGAACCAATCGTCAAACAAATATCCAGGAGAAAGTGGAGATAGATTGAACACTGGCTGAGGAGGCGGCTGAGTGACGTCGCGCGAAGGGAAGCGGGTGACATGGAGCAGATCGTGTGAAGAGGAGTTGAAACAGTATGGACTAACATGGATACAGGTGAAAAGGACAGCAGAAGACAGAAGCAAGTGGAGACGTGCATCTGAAGCCCTATGTTCCACTAGGAACCCAAGGGAACAACAATGATATAATAGTGTCCAACGGTCTACTATTGTGATAATATAATATACAAAAACAAGCAACCAGTAATTTAGGTCAATAGAGAAAAATACCCCTTGCCTTCTTTGGGAAGATAACAGTTTGGCCCAAAATGCATACGAATATACACTTTTGCATGGACTGAGATGATGTAATGTAGAGATGAGTAGGCTTCATTGGATTAATGAGACTGGAATGATGGTGTAAAATACAGCTCGCGACCAGCACTGATGTGATCTCAATTATCACAAGCTATATTTTAAAATGTATGACGCTTACAAGTCTGAAATTACCGCAAGGATAAGCACCGAGAGACTCCAAGAAACTATTGCCCAGCATATATACACCGAAGGAAATGGACTGAGCGAATACTGAAGAGACTGTTGTGCGACATCGTACGTCAGGCCGTCGAATGAAACCGAATGGGAAAAGATGATTTGGACGTCACACGGGAAATGGAAGTCTATAGACATTCGTGGGGCTAGCAAAGACGGCTGCAAAGAACAGAATGAAATGTAGATTTGGTGGCGAAGCCCTATGCCCCACTCGGAACCCAAGGTAATAATAATAACAACAACAATAATAAGAGTTACAGGATTTCATCATGAGCTGACATTGGTTAGAGAACTATTGGAAAACCAGGTGGGAGTACTGGACAGCTGTTTCATCCTAGTTTATGACTCTTCATCAGTACGCACCCACCGCCACGGTTCGAACCCAGGACCTTCTGGTTACAAGCCGAGCTCGTGTACCATTAAGCCACTGGGACCCGACACAATGGTCCATGAATTCTAACTTCTGCCAATTCATGATATATAATAATAATAAGAGTTACTGCAAAAACTGTTAATAAAATTTTAGCCAGTGGTGCCTAGCGCTGTATTATCTGGAGAAAAACCCGCACTTACGTTAGCATTCTTTCTTAACAAATGGACTTGTTGACGTTTAAGATGGTCTTCTAACTTTCGAAAATTAACAACTAACAGACCACATGTAGGACAGGCTGCACGTTTATTTTGAGTATGCGTATCCAAATGACCGGTAAGATTTTTTAAACGACGGGCTACATATGTACAATCCTCCCATAAACATTTCAATCCTACACCCTTCGGATAACGAGAATCATTATATTCCTGAAAGAAAAAGAGAAGAATATAAAAGATTAAAGTAATGGGATAAGTTGCGTGACTATTACTCAAATTATAGGTTTTTTTTCCTATTTAATTTTAAGTGCAACTGAACTTTTTATCTGTTTTAAAATCACCACACGAACAAACAATTTTTAGAAATGACATACGTTAGAGAGATCAGTGAAAAACGAGGGAACACTGGACAGTTACTTTGTCACATCTTGGGTCTCTTCATCAGTGGAAAGTCAAAACCAGTGGGGTCCACCATGTTAAGGTGAAGTGAATTCTCATCGAAGACACTGGTGAGACCTGCGCTATATCACAAGCTGACAAGGTGAGAATTCACGGATTACTGGATTCCAACCCAGGTGACTGAATGGCCAACGAGATACGTCCCGTAACCTGAAGGACCTAAGTGGTACATATATAGGGCTAGGGATGTTAGGAAATCGTTATGGAAAACTTAGTCTTGTTAATATATGTATAAAACTTGGGCACTGTGGTAGTAAATAATTCCATATTAGTTTGTTTATCAGATGTATCACACAATGACGTTTCGAACAAAATTTATTGCAGTTCATAATCATATCAATTGTAACCACACGACTTCGAAACTTGGGTTTTATAGTCTTTTTTGTTCCCTCCTTTTTGTCGTAGGGGTAGTGGAATTTTCCAGATATCTTGGTCAGGTATTGAATCATTCCTATTACACGTATTTGCAGTTGATTCAAAACTGTCATCCTACTGTATGGTTGTGTGTAGGATGACAGTTTAGAAATCTAATGTCACAGGGTGGAGGGAGAGATTGATAACAGAAGCTTTATTTATCGAATCAACTGCAAACACGTGTAATAGGAATGATTTAACACCTCTCCACACAGATATCTGGAAAATTCTACTACCCCAGCGACAAACAGGAGGGAACAAAGTTGTGTGGTTACAATTGATATGATTATGAACCGCAATAAATTTCGTTCGAAAAGTCATCCAGTAAATAATACTGTTCCACTGTGAGATGCATCTAATAAACAAACTAATATGGAATTACAAAATTTAGTCTGCTTTTGATTGTTCCTCTACTTTTATACCCCTACTTATTACACACAACAGTGAAGTGTAGTGCAGAGCTTCAAATTGATATGTCGACTTTCATAATGCTACGTACGATAGACCAAAATGACACTATAAAGTAGGTCTCAGTAATCATACAAAGAATGAGAAACAATGTCTGTCCTTTGAAAAAAAAACGTAAATTTACCTCTGAATGCTTTGAAACATGATCAATAAATATGGAAACATCGTTGGTTTTAAAATCACAGTACTCCCAACCACACTCAAATTTAGTTGGAAGTTCAGGTATTGAATTACATGACTTTGAATCACACATACAAGATGGCCAATCATTAATTGACGAGGAATGCTTTCCAACCACTTTCAGATGATTGACCCAAGAATGAAAATACGAGTGCCTTTCAATCTCATCCGGATCAGATACATTTATAGGAGAATCACATATTCCACAGATAGGATGGCATATACACTGTGACACTTGTTCACATAATACCTACACAGGAAATATAAAATATATATGTATATAATATCATACATCTCATCTAAATTTCCGGAGATTTTGGAAAATCTAAAAGTAGGAAAAGTTAATGGCGACTGTTTAAGGTAGTGTAAAGGTGAAGCATATTATCATTCCTTAAGGCTTTTACAATCGACGTAGTGACCACAACCAGAAGGTTGACATAAGAGATTGTTTAAAAAAAATAGTGAACTAGGCTATTCTTACAAGTAGATGGAATAGCTACGGGTTCACCATTAGGCCCAATGTTAGCTGACCTCTTTCTCGCAAAACTTGAAAACGGAAAATTGAAAGACATCATCAAGGAGTTTGACATGATTTTATTCCAGAGCCTTTCCACGAGTATACGGAGAACGTTTTACGCAGCATACCTATGTTTGTCATTCTCTAGCCGACGAATGATTGGGACACAAACGAAGGATAAGCTAGATAGTTTTGCCACATCAATTCAACTGCAGCTACGGTGACGTTGGGCGTACTACTAGACAGCTTAGCAAACGTGTCACTACTAAACATCTCACATCGTGGTTTGGCAAAGGACAGACAAAAACAATCCGCAGCTCAATTTTGTCACATTTAATTGATAGCGGTCATATTGTGGAGAAAACGAGAGCTTTCAAGGTAATTCATCGTATCCCACCGAATCTCTCAAATACACTTCGTATCCGTCTACTGCACACAGCTGAGGCGATAGGCATTCGAACTATTATGCTCCTAAACTATGCATTCAAAAGAAGTTCGTACGACCATTATCCTCCCTTGTTGGCCTATTAAGACATAACCAACTAATGACTTCTACACCACCCCTTATTTATATTTTCAACCCCTCTCTTATCACCCCTTAATCTTATCACATCTTCATTAAAAACGTGTTTCATTTACTTCTCTTGCAATCTAGCATTACTCAATCGGTTCATTTGTTTTTATTAGCCTTTATCGGCTACGACGTCTACCTGAACATTTGTTTGTTTAATCATGCTGTTTTTCATTATTCGTGTTATCACGGATTGCCTCACTTTTTCATCCTTATTATTGATAAAACCATTATTATTATCGTCATTATTATTATTATGACTAACTGCACAATTTATATTACCATCTTATTATCCTAAAGACAAAACACCATGATTGGTTTATATTTGAATTTTTATTTGTTATGTATGTGTATTAGAGTTAAGCCTGATGAGATGTAATTGAAAGCACAATATTTTTCGCTTAAATGTGTTCTAAATTTTACTATGGGAATATTTAATATATTGGAATTAGGTTATAATTAGTCTAAGAATAACAATTAAGAATGAATTCATTTGTTTTACTTTTGACGATTCTTTTATTTTACAATATCCGCTAAGAACTAATGGCTGGAGACAATTAGTGATACGACTCAAAATTTTTTTTGATTACAGCTTGATTCCACACTGTATTTTTGGTACAAGCATGGAATTTTCAGCATGTGATATCGGTAGCCCAAATCTTGCAGGCTGACCATAGATATCAGGTGTGCGTCGGAAGCGAATCGAACCTCGGACCATGTGTATGGTCGGCGAGAGTCCTAACCACTGTGCCACCGATGCACACCTGATATCTATGGTCGGCCTGACAAATTTGGGCTACCGATATCACATGCTGAAAATTCCATACTTGTACCAAAATACGGGGTGGAATCAAGCTGTAATCAAAAATAAAAAATATAATTGTTCACAGTATTGAAGATGAATTTATTCTCTGTGATTTGCCATATCTAAAAGGATTTATTGTTTTTCTCTGTTACTGTTCTTTCTCTCTCTCTTTCCCACACATTTCTGCTTACTATAGTTCTTTCCAATCTCTTTTTTGTCTTCCTTTGTGTGCAGAGTTCTGTGTTGAAATCAGTCACTCAGTGAGTCAATATCCACTAACTTAAACTTACAGTCTGTTATTTAAAAGACCCTTATCCAAAACGAAGCAATCGTGCCTCTTGCACAATTCGAGATATGTCTCATTTTTTGAAGGACTGGATTTTTAACCAGTCGGTTTCAGGTTCAAACATCTTTTAACATGTTTCAGATTGAGAAATTGAGGTGTTGAGAACTCCCATATGCCTAATAATTTTAGCCGAATAAACGAAAATGAGTATTGAATCAGTGAGTCTTTAGGGTAATTTGAAAAATTTTAAGTTGTCAAGCCATAAGGGAATTGTAACGTGCATCGATATTAACGTGCTCTTCACAAACTGCTGAAACGTCAGTAACCTGACAATACATACCATCTGGGTGAGGTTGTATCAAAAGTGGGCTTTGCAACTAGAATGTAATCGAAAATAAGAATGATGGAAGATGTTGAGTCCGCTGATTACGAAAAAATAATATGCGCTTTAACTATCCACATTTGAATAAAAGAACACGGGTATACACCTATGATTGAAAAGTCATCTAACTGGATGAAAATATGCGTTTAGCTAATTTGGAAATGCCGTATGTAGACATTATCATGTTAAAAAAATCAACCTATATATCACGGTCGGAGAAATTTTTCGTAAACATAGATAGAGTTGGTGGAAATGTGGGCAATTCCCCTTTCACAATTGGGTAAAGTGGGCTACTTTTAGAAATAACATGGATAATTTGGGGAAAAGTGGCGTTTCAGGCCAAGGGCATGAGCGAAAATGGGTAAAAAGCGGGTAGGAACATGGGTGAAATGGGTATTTTGTTTTAGACTTTACCCATATCCCAAAAGATCAAAATTATCAGTTCTCACATATTCCTCACTTTACCCGTGTGCATTCTCCGACTGAGACTGTAGAAGGGTAAATATGAAAGTGAAAATGGCAAATAATTGCACACAGAGAGCTATGACGTTTTGCACTCAACATACAGTTTAAAAAGAAATTAAAAACTAACACTATACATAGTTATGGTTAGAAACACTAGTTGATAACATCCATAGATGATTGATACCTGTGTTGAACCATCTACCTGTATCTTTTTTCAAAAGTAATTACTAAGTTAGTTCAAAATGATTACGATACTAAACTAAGGAATACCAAGTAGCAAGACTTACTTCGAAGTGTTGTAGCTGGTGACGTTTGAGTGAATTTTTGTCATCAAAGGAGCTGGAGCAGTCTTTCCATTCACAACAGTATGAAAGTTTTGATTTGGCAACTAGAGACTTTCTACCTCTCTGCATCTTTATGCTGCATCATTAACTAAAAAGCAATTGTCTTTAAAGACCGAAGTAGAAAAATCCTCATCTAATATCAATCTAAAAAGAAGTCAGAATTTAGTACTCATGTGTTACACTGTTTAATGAGTTAAATAAGCCATACATCTTTTTGTGATGATCACATGAAGACCATCTTGGCTAACACAGCATATAAGATTCTAAATCCCACAGACTTGCGAAGACTGAGTAGGTCAGGGGGATTTAGGACCAGATGGTGTATTTGCGCAAGACGTCAAGATACAAACGGAGTATTGCTAATCATTATGGACCGTATAGAAAGAGTACATAAACTTTTGAGCAAAGTAAAGAACCCAAACGTCCTACAACAAGCACTATGATTTCACAACTGTCGACACTTGAAATCCCGAAAGAATCAAGAGTGGCGGATAGACTGTGACACCTCTACAGTAGAGTTCGAAAACAAACTATCCATTCTAGAGTTTCATACGAGTATTGCCAAACAGCTGAGCGCTCTAATGAGTTCTGATATACTAACCCCTGTACATCAAATAAGAGATGTCATATTCGCTCCGGCACAGTGCTGTTTCCATGGTTTTTCATCACTAGTAAGAGTCCGTAGAAAAAAATCTTGATTTCTAGTCTCGCCACATGTAGGTTTGCAATCTTCATTGTACTCTACATGTATCGTGTACAAATTCTTTTACACTGTAGAAAGGATGGATAGCACAATACCTAGTGTTCATTTAACAATAGCCGTGAAAATCTGCAACCATGTAGTCAAGGACAGAAACCATCTATTGTATGTGCAAACCAACCAATTTTACTATTTGCATGAAAGTAAAAAGAAGCTTAAGCACACAGAATAAAATGTTGCTAGTTAGCTTTCTCCTATTATAATGTCACGGGTTCTTATCAGCTGATAAGCGCTAGCTGTAAAGCAACCGATTTCTCCCTCCTCACAACTACAGATACTGCCAAAAATCAAATAACCACTTTCTCAATGAATTAACACGTAAAATATATTAGGGAGGTGCGACAATTTTCCCTAAAATATGCCCCAAACTCCCGAAAAAAGTTTTGCTAATTTCCCGGGGAATTAGCCACTTACCACACATATGGCAGTCTGAGAAATATCTCATTTCACGGGTTAATAGTGCCTAGCCAAGAAAAGTGCTGTATTAGCCATTCAATTAGACGAAATTTAATCTTAGCCATAAATGGGTATACGTTATAACGTATATTTAATTGTTTTCGCTTGTTATAATCAAAGGTAGTTGGCGGTTGACAGCTTCTAATGTTATTAGGCTGTCCAGATATATTTTGGTAGTCTAGTTAAAAATTTTATATTCATAATTAGGCAAGTAAAACCTAGTCATCAATTATTCTTGTAAAATATTTGAAAAAATGAATCTACCTCCGTTCCGCAACATTTGAATCTGCGGCATAACAGAAACTACAATTTCGAATGATGGCATTCACTTGTTATATAGTGCTCTACTTTACATTGAAATGGGCTTTGTGGATATGCTCAGGCATTCGAAGTCTTCATAAAATGATGCTACACCGAAAAGGCGGCTTTTACATGAAGAAGACTATTCGAGTATATTATAGTGCCCTCCAGTCATTCCATTCTGCTTGTCGCTCCTTGAATTCGAGACAACAAATTAGCCTTGAATTATGCGTATCTTTCTGAACAGGAAGTTATCGTCACTGAGTTGGCTTATTAAGCTATCCGATACATGAAATGACTCTGTGAATTTCACACTACTGTGGATAGCCGGGTATCCCGAAAATCTGCATTCAGGTATACTCTTGGAACTGAATCATTCTTCATAGGTGTTACCCTGGGTTTGTTTTACTAAAATTCGAAAAACTACGCCACCTTGCAGAACCGTCTTAGTTTAAACAGTAGCCAATTGTCCATCAGAATAAACGTACGGCCCTACAACCTTGTGGTCTTTCGTCAACTCTAACATGTAGGTAGTGGAATGATGACATGCTAATCTCAAGCTGCTGAGCCAATTCTTCCAAAAAATGCTTTTTATCTGGTGTATCTCCTTTCACTGTTTGCCTCTTGTTTTTGGGGAGAAGACAATGTGCCACCAGTCACAGTAGGTAAGCCGAAGAAGATAACGCAGACATGGTCTCCCTGTATGATTTGTTTACTAATATTACTCATACTAGGTCCGAAGGTATCACAGATGGTAATAATGGTTTATATTTCTTATAAATATGCGATCAGCCAGCAACATTTCAATTCACAAGTCTCGCACTTTGCTAGCCCTATCTTCTGGAGCTCTATACTTTATCATTAATGCTGTTCACAACCAATTTAACTATATGAGAGCTGGTCTTATCGAAAACAAGACTACACTTGGTGCAAAGTTAACTGTTAATAAATACACACTAAATATTCATCCATAGATAAACAGCTGTTGATTCTATATTTCGACATTCTGACATGTGAGCCATCATTCGCTCACAAAAGCGTCAAATAGATACTATTACCTCGCCGGTAGTTTACTGCGCAGGAAGATTTCACTCATATGCGTAAAGATACCTATTATAGTTCTACTAAATCTTGTTTATTTACCAGATAATGATCATGTGGGGTCATTCGTGGGTAAACTGCCGTACTTTTCACAGCAATGGAGTACTATAGACATTTAACGTGGCTTTTCAGATTGAATACTGTGTGATGACGCAGATACTACCCAACCTCAAGTTAATAATAGCCTTTAATTCTTCCTGCTTGACCTCCCAGTATTTGTGTCTCAAGTATGCCGTTGTAATTAAATCAGAAGTCTTGACGTTTGATAAACCACTTTCCTAGATTCATTATGCGCTCGGCAGAAACGTCATGATAAAAAACCCGCCGTCCCCTTTTAAACTCTTGGGACTGGCTTTTTGTAACATACTCATTTTTGTAGGCACATGAGCCTTCGAATAACCTAGCAGCTTTCTCATTTTTACTCACTCGTAAATTTCTCAAGTCACTGTCATAATGAAGCGGTTTGCCGTTAATATTAATTTTCATCCCTGCTCTTGACGAGGAAGGATACGCATACTTCCGCTGTGGGCGTCTTTGAAGTTCAGCCCAGTGGTGCCTTCTTGTCATACACGTATTTGCGATCCCATATCTTTCTCCTGTGATTTCGTAGGCTTCTGGTCTGTTGCATTTGACAAGCAATTTTAGTTAGCTTTGCCGAGGCGTAAAATCTTTACATCACGCCATTGATATTAGTTGACAGCCGGCCCGAGGTTAGGTATAACGACCCCATCAAATTTCTGGGTATATACATTTCTTGTCAGTGCAGTCACTCGAGCCTACGAGAATCCTACTCAAAATGACACTCATTTGCAGGACGGTGTATCGATATCAACAGCTGCCAGACCTTTACTATGAAGCCCTCTGAGTAGTTCAACGTTAGCGTGATATCAAATATATTATCTAGTGACACATACGCATCAACAAAATAGTGCAGTTTTTCGTGCTGTGACAAGTAGCAGATTATAAATTTATTGTGTGAACTATATGAGCCTGAAAAGCTCTAACAGTGTTAAGAGGGATCGCACGATCGAGCGACTTTATTGCATATCCCCTCAATGACGCTTGTTCCTATGTTGCTATTGGTTTCAAGTGGCCTTGGTTTTGGGGGAAGATTTAACTGAAGTAATATTGCGATTTCATAACATAACTCAGTCTCATACGTGAAAGTTATTATCCCGAAATAAGGAGAAGTTGTTTAGAAGGTAAAGAGGGCATAATTTTTCATTTAATTTGTGTATACTTTTGTGCATCGAGTTGCGCTGAGTTCTTAGTGCAAGCTTGCAATAAGAACTGTACAGTACTGTATGTAACTGTATTTACATCAAGTAAAACATTACGAATAAGCACGTTTTTAGAATAAAAAACATGATTCTTTTCATTAAGTTTAATAGTGAAGAATGGAATTTCTTCCACGTCATTGTTATTTCATTGAAGTTGTAATCTGTGTAAGTCCTTTTAGTAACCAATTCGGCGTGGAGAACTCCATACTCTTCCTCAACAGTCAGTGTAACCCCTATAAATTGCTAGTACTATTCACATAGCTTGTTTCTCAGCTAAGTTTTATTTATCCTCAATACAAGCAAATAAAACACAACCACTTCTGTTCCTCAGAATCTTTCCACTTGAGAATAGGACATCAATGAAGTGAGCTTCACTACCATGAATTAAGAATACTTCTGAACTCGCAGTACTTTGCTTTTTCTAAAATCTTAAACTCCGTTTCCTCCACCCACTTATCTCTCAGTTTCAAGAGTGAGATGTGAAATGTTGGTAAACTTACTGAATGTATAGTATATATCAACTTTGAGGAGCTTCAGAGTTGATACGTTTATGTTCTAAATTTCTTTTTTCTAGGTGGGTGTTGCTTTTAACTCATTTTCCCTGCATAAGGGTATTTTGACGCCTAGGGACTGCCCCAAAGAGAAATTTACAGTTTCGTTCGTTCGTGCAGTCCAAAGGCATTATAGTGTTCTCATGGGTCACCATCTCATATCAAGGCAACTATCCAGAACTCAGAGGACTTCATCTGCCTTGGTTTAAATAGTATTAAACACCAGATAGATGACTCAAAAATTACTACTCGGTGTGACAAAGTTTGTTCCTCTAGGAACCCAAAGGAACAATAATAATAATGACAAAGTTTACTGTGTAGATCAAGAATGATCATTTTGTTTCACAGTTGATCACGATAAAGCTTGGAAATAAACGGCAAAATAATATGAATTATTCCCCACGACTTCATTGTTTTCATCCTCTGTCGACCAGCAAACCGAAAGTTCATGACAAGAATTTTCCATCCCCATTAATTATGAATCTGATGCGAATATATCAGTTCAGTTGTCACGAACATCGATGTGTCACACTATCTAAATAGGTGGCATCAGGCATTCTGACTTATTCACTTTTACGATGGTCATTTCTTCTGTGTTTCTTAACTGAAATTTTTGAAATCGCTTTATATACGATGTTCGTTACCGCATTTCACAGCCTGCATTCTAAGAGGACCTTCTCCATGTCGTCCTAAGAGACAAACGCAGCATGACGGCACGTCATATGACGGCGCTTGGAAATTGGCCCAGAGTATGTCCAGTTAATGTACACTCCTTCTGCATACTTGTTGGGCGATTGGTTCTTAGTTGGTTGTGTGCCTACCATAGTTTCTTGTTGTTAGCGCTTTCTAACTGATCATCTGATCTTCAACCACGAAAGAAGGCATGTGATAAAGAAAACGTGTTTTAGATTTTCGGCAATGCTCTTGTTATGCCAATTCCAAGTGTCTAAACCATATAGAAGCACCGACTTGACACCAATGTCGAAAATTCGGATTTAATTCCCTATTCTAAGTTTCATGGGTTCACATGCTAGGCTCAGAGTAATGAATACGTGTCTTACTTTCTCGGTAGTGACTGGATCCACCATCCTCATCCGCGTCATCTGTAGTCGAAGTTTTTCTGCCCAGATCGCGCAAAGGAAGGAGACAACTTGCTTTCGACTCTTTCTTTTTTAAGTGGCTCGTTTTTGTTGTTGATATTCAGGCATTCTTATTCTCTGTGTCACCCCGTGTTCACCTGAATTCCTATCCCCTTATTGACATCCACTTATGAATCTTCGAGTTTGGAAGATGCGAGACGTTAACCAGTTAAGATTTTTTCAAGATATTCCCCTATTCCTAAAACGCACAACGTGATGCATTATCAGGTCCATCACAATCGGGAAAACCACTGGTGACGGCAGACAGTCTTATCTTATTCCTATCTTCACTTCAAAGACTTCACTGAGCTTACTTTGGCGGAATGCCCATCATGTAGTAATATTATGTAGCTGTTAATTATTTTTTTATTCCTTTACGATCTGAGTGGAACACAGGCATTCAGGCTAGAGCTTTTAAGTTTCCGTAACAGTGGTTTTATTTTGAAGGGGTGGAGTCGCTAGTCTTACGCCCAACCTTTTCTCTTTACTGGCCTTACCACCGGCTTAATGGGCCCTAGGGGCTTGGCCGGAGACTGAAACCCGGGCCAGATGTGGTGTGATTGGCGAGCGTTCTACTGCTGAAACACAGGAGCACATATAGCTGTTAAATGAGATTTAAAAGTATAATACATCTCGTAGTGTTGAAGCAATTGCTGAATCCTTTCATGGTCTTTGATGACGAAGGTTTGATTGGAATAGGGGCATATGTGACATTCCTCAATGTCCGGCTTGTTGCATAGGAAGTTTTCTATTCGGGGCACCTTCAAACATTCCAGGATGGGGCGCTGTAATATTTTGCTTGGAATGATTATTTACTTATATTACTTGTTGGTCTCCACTTCGTAAGAAATTAATATTTAGTGAACAGTCAACTGTTATGATATTTTCAAGTATTGATTTGTAGGGATTTGATTGATTGGTTACAGGATTCCATCATGAGCTGACATCAG